CCCCCCCCACCCTACCCCCATCAGGTGACGAAGGCGGCGGCACGGGTGACGTGGAACGCGCTCCCCTCCACCGCCTGACCCGCCCCCCCCCCCCCCCCCCACCCTACCCCATCAGGTGACGAGGGCGGCGGCACGGGCGACGTGGAGCGAGACTCGCGCACCGTGTTCCTCAGCAACCTGGACTTCGCCACGGACGAGGCGCGCCTGCGCAGTCACCTGGCCGACGTGGGAGACATCACCGATGTGCGCCTGGTCAAAGACTACAAGGGCCGCTCCAAGGGGTTCGCTTACCTCGAGTTCTCGACCATTGTGAGTACGGGATGTGCCGGTGAGCTGGCCTGAGGGTGACGCTGAACGCCACGCGCTCAGGCCAGCGCGTGTTGTTCGTCTGTTTTACGTGCTAGCGCGTGCTGTTCAGGCCAGCGCAGTCTGTTGTTCTGTTTCACATGTCACACCGTGCAGGGATTCATAATCGCTATAATTATGAAAATTTTAGCTTTGGGGGTGGTGAGAACAGGACAAATAATGCTATGATGAGTGCACAGGAGTATTACTACTCTTGCCTTCACGTTTCAGTGTGTGTGTATCCACGCAGGCGGCGGCCGAAGCGGTGCTGCAGTGATAAACACCACAGTATCATCTGGCTCCCGTCGTGCCTGTGGCCTGCCGTTGGCTCCCTCCCCTGAGCAAGTGTGCTGTGTCCGCGCAGGCGGCGGCCGAGGCGGTGCTGCAGTGATAAACACCACAGTATCATCTGGCTCCCGTTGTGCCTGTGGGCTGCCGTTGGCTCCCTCCCCTGAGCAAGTGTGCTGTGTCCGCGCAGGCGGCGGCCGAAGCGGTGCTGCAGTGATAAACACCACAGTATCATCTGGCTCCCGTTGTGCCTGTGGGCTGCCGTTGGCTCCCTCCCCTGAGCAAGTGTGCTGTGTCCGCGCAGGCGGCGGCCGAAGCGGTGCTGCAGTGATAAACACCACAGTATCATCTGGCTCCCGTCGTGCCTGTGGCCTGCCGTTGGCTCCCTCCCCTGAGCAAGTGTGCTGTGTCCGCGCAGGCGGCGGCCGAGGCGGCGTTACAGCGCGACCGAGCTCCCATCGACGGCCGGCCCTGCTTCGCGTCGCGGCTGCGGCGCGGCGCGCAGCAGCAGCCCCAGCAGGGCTTCAAATACAACACCGGCCTGGAGCGTAACAAGCTGTTCGTTCGAGGTGAGCGGCGCCGAACGCAGCCAGTCAGCAGGGTCATGGTGGCATCGGCGTCCTGCCGTCAGGAGGGTAGGCGCACGGCCGTGTCTTGTTAACGTTATGGTACCCTAGCTTTTGAATGTCATCACCTGTTTTACCACCAGTGGTCTTTCTCTACCGACGTATGTCGTCAGGAATATTCTGAGATTCTTATTAAATGTATGGACCCTACGATGAGCGGGGGGGGGGGGGGGGGGCTGGGCGTCCCTTCACCCATTTAGCCGGCATTGAACGTCATGCCCATGGCGTTGCATTTAGCAGCAATCTGTCCCACCCTGGCCGCCTGCACTGGTCAGCGGCCATCAGCGATCGGTTGCGTCTCAGCCTACACACGATCTTCAGCAGGCGCAGGCCTGTGCTGGCGTGGTCGGCCACCAGCGCTTTTCGGTGTGCGCCAGCTGGTCGTTGGCAGCTATCCTGGGGTGCACCGCCGCCGTGTCTGGGTGTGTGCGTCGGCTGGTCAATGACCGCCGGCAGCCGTCCGAGGGTGCGCGACCGCCGTGTCTAGGTGTGTGCGCCAGCTGGTCGGTGACCGCTGGCAGCTATCCGGGGGTGCGCCGCCGCCGTGTCTGCGTGTGTGCGCCAGCTGGTCGGTGACCGCCTACAGCTGTCCGAGGGTGCGCGGCCGTCGTGTCTGGGTGTGTGCGCCAGCTGGTCGGTGACCGCCGGGAGCCATCCTGGGGTGCGCCGCCGCCGTACCTGCGTGTGTGCGCCGGCTGATCGGTGACCGCCGAGAGCCGTCCTGGCGTGCGCCGCCGCCGTGTCTGCGTGTGTGCACCGGCTGGTCGGTGACCGCCGGCAGCCGTCCTGGGGTGCGCCGCCGCCGTGTCTGCGTGTGTGCGCCAGCTGGTCGGTGACCGCCGGCAGCCATCCGGGGGTGCGCCGCCGCCGTGTCTGCGTGTGTGCGCCGGCTGGCCGGTGACCGCTGGCAGCCGTCCTGGGGTGCGCCGCCGCCGTGTCTGGGTGTGTGCGCCGGCTGGTCGGTGACCGCCGGCAGCCGTCCTGGGGTGCGCCGCCGCCGTGTCTGCGTGTGTGCGCCGGTTGACGCTCCGGACGCCTCCAGGCCTGCCGTTCAGCGCCACCGCAGACGACCTGCGGCAAAAGTTCTCCACATTCGGTGAGCTGAAGGACGTGCGGCTGGTCACCTTCAGAAACGGCCACTCTAAGGGGCTGGCCTACATCGAGTTCAACGGGGAGGTGAGCATGCCGCGACCGCTCACGGTCGGCAGCAAGCCTTCACGCCGGAGAATCTACACGGCGTGAGATCCCATTAACGCAAGACAATGATCGCCTCCTCATTACCCCCCGCAGTTACGGCTGTCATGAAGATGGTCATACGATGATACGATAATGTTCTTGGCTTCCTGAGGGACGAAGCAAACAAACGCGGAATGGTGTAATCTTGTCCCCAGTGTGATCAGAAGCTGCGAGTGTATCTCATTGCCGCACCGCGGTTCGCCTCACGCTTCGGCTATCGTTTGCCAGCTGGCGTCGGGTCTGTCCGGCCCAAGCGACTCCCCTCTCATGTCCCCGTCGTGCCGGACAGGCGGCCGCGGCCGAGGCGCTGCTCAAGACCGACAGCACCGTCATGGACGGCAAGACCATCAGCGTGGCCATCAGCGATCCTCCCAAGGCCAAGGGCCGGCCGACAGAGCAGCGCTCGCTGGGACCGGGCGGCCGCGGCGGCGCCAGGTGAAGCCATTCTCCTATCAGCCGGCCGGCGCATGCACCTGTGCTGTGACCTTTTTCAGCTTACCTTTTCACATGCGGCGCTTGTTGATTTTGCGGACCGTTTATTTTCGAAGACCGATGGTGTGCTTGAATATTTCGGTGATCATAAACTACTCAGGCTCACCTGACTTCGTCTTAGACCGTTTATTTTTGCCAGTAAATCACACAGCCGACCCGGTATGCGGAGGCTCAGGGGATCATTGCTGTCGTGAAGTTGTGCCAACGGTTTCCACAGTATGCAGGGTCCTCCGTGGTCCAAGATATCGGCCACGAGTATTGCCGGCTCCCTCTTCTCCCCCCCCCCCCCCCCCCCGAGCCTTGTCCAGCCGGTGAAGTCAGCTCGGAGTCCAGATATTGTCGAGCGATCCGCGGTGGGCAACAGGCAGTCACGAGGCGATATATTTCTGCGCGGAGTGACAACTCATCCCAAAAGTCAGCTCAATCCAGGAGGCTCAGGCTTTATTTGTAAAAGCGGCTGCGCAGTAGTTCGATCTTGGCGCACTTCAATGGCGACGCCCGTGTGACCATGTTTCAGTCGCGGACGGCTTCAGGTGGCCTTCGTGCCCCGAGCACTGCAGAAAAAGGAGGCGCCGGCCGAGTCGGCCGCGCCCCAGGCGCCGACGCCCAAGAGCAATGCCGACTTCCGCGGTCTGCTCTTGTCGAAGAAGTAGGCGGCGATCTGCCGTGACGGGGAGCTATCTCACAAGTCTTTGCTCCCATTTGCATCGTAGCTGACAGTTGATGTGGAGCCAATACAGAGCGATCGTTTGTAGCACATTTTTTCGTTCTGACTGGTTTGCAGTGCATGCGCTGACCTTCGTGGGGACGGGTGTGACTGGGCGCTGCTAGTTAACGGTGAATGCGCCGACAACCCGGAACAAATGTGATGCTTTGGTTGGAGCCATCTGGACTACGAAGATCGGCCCGAGGCCAATGGAGGCGATGTCTCATATATTTCATGCGAAAAAGCTCATGTCAGTGAGTGGTAGACTGACCAGCTCACAGTGCAAAGATAAAATGCTAAAAGTGTGCACACAGGCACATGAATCACAGTTTAATCACTCATATGAGTCGCTGCAGAGGGCAGCGGGTAAAACCATGGCGAAAAATGGCACGAGACGGCGTCTATGTCAGTCCAGTCTGGCGCCATAGGGTTATGCTCAGCATAGGATGGTATAAGCCGCAAGGACGACCGTTGTGGACACGCTGGAGGGTTCTGAGCCTCCAGCTGCTGGAGTGATCTGTAACAGGTCCGCGCTGTCTCGAACGCGTGACCTCGACAGGCCACGACGGCGTTCTCCGCCGTCGAATGATCAGCAACGGCTGTGCTGCTGCCTGTGTATGCAAATTGACTGAAGGAGCTGTTCACGGCTGTTATTTTGTCTGTGTGGAGAGGGCTGGCGGCCTTCGCCGAGGTATGTTCAGTTATCCCTAGTTCGGTATCACCATTCACTGATACCGAACTAGCGTTATGAACGTACTGCGCGCTGCACTGAGTTGGAATAAGCATGTGCCCTCAAGACCTGAAGGTCACAATGGACATGTCAAACACTCAACCACTAAGGACCAGCAGTACACTTATTACAAGCGCGTGCGCGTGTAGTCTGTACGGAGGCCTTTCTTGCATACCATTACAGTCAGGAGTACCGTTTCCCATTTCTTTGAAGCTTTGGCTCCAACTCCCCAAACCCTGGGAGAATGGGTCAAAGCCGGAGTAAATCCGTTTGTTGACGAATTTTAGGTGTAGGTTTCATAATTTTTCACGGTTCCCCAACTGACTTGTAACAACTACTTCCCTGCTCAGAGAAGCCGATATTTTCAGGCCGATTGCCTTTCAGCCATGATAGAGAAGAAATGAGAGCTATCTTCAATCTCACGTCATCTCATTTCACGTCATTGCTGCAAAGCTGGTGCGTCCGAAACAGTAACCCATTAGTCGATGCAGAGAAAGATGAGAACGGCGGCAGAATTATACTTTGGCGGCCTTGACTAATTTGGAGCGTGGAGGTAAGGTGGCGCGAGTGTTCCGCTCATAGACGCGCTTCATGCGAGACGGCTGGATCGTGGTTAGTTGGAGGCTCTCAAATTGTCCAGTGAATAGGAAGAAATTTAATGAAGTGATAACGTTGGCTCCGGAGAGTCGCGCCAAGATCTGGATACCCTGAGGATACTAGTTAGCTGTCTTCCCATTGCAACCTCGGTCATAGGACAGGTGAGCGCTTCAGTTTTGTTACGTCACCATTGCTGATATATTATATATATATATATATATATATATAATATTTCCCATAAAGTGCTTAATCTCGTGTTAAAAATGGTTCAAACTCATTACTAAAATCACTCCTGCTCAGCATCACCTGTAAACAGGCTCCCAAATTGTGCGCACATTTCAGACTCATAATGTTCTAGGTCAAAAACTTGCTAGCCAAATTGCTTGAGAAGGGGGCTGCAAGTAGATATCACTTACTATGCAGAGATCCTGTAATGAAAGAGTTTGCCTAGGCATGTGGATTGTGTTTTGGGCTAAATTTACTTCCTGACCTAGAAGATCAAAGGTGGCTGAAACTTGTGTCAGCAAGACTGCTTGTGTCATGGTTCTTGAGCTACCATTTTCATCATAATTCTTTTAGTAGAATCTGCCAAATCAGTCAAAGTTAAGGTACCCTTAAGTAATGGAATACATAAGACTTTCAGAAGGATCAGGAACCTATAGCCATGTCCCCCTTGACATGATAGCTCTAGGATTTCTCAGTCATTGGAAGGTTTTTTGCTATATGTGTTTGCAACTCAGCTCACATTAAATGTCTCAGAGCCCAGTTCCTCATTAACTTAAAATTCAACCTCTGCCTGCTGAGGGAGTATCAGAGATACACACCAATGGAAGACACCCTTAGTTCCAAAGGTGGACACACATGGAGTCAGCTGATCCAACCCTACAGACATAGAGTTCAGAGTGGCATGAATAGCACACTTGAATATTATTTGAATAACATTTACAGCTAGGTGATATGTGGCTAAGTACATAGCTATTGATCACACTTTCCATCTTAAAATAAGACCAGCCTATTTGCTATACACACTAGAGCATCAACAGCAACATGGTTAATAGCACAGTGCATCAACTCTAGCTATGCATTGCTATGTCAGCGCTGATGACTTGCTTGTAAGCAGCCACATACTTGGCCCCTTACCTCTTACTGAGTCAGGGCCTGGGCTGCAGCATCACACCTAAAGAAGTGGCTTAATCACTCCAAAGTAAGGAATGGATCTCCATTGGCTAATGAATAATAGGCCTCAGGAGTCTGTGGACTTAAAAGACATGCTATAGGTACTAGTAATGATACTAGGTAACATCTATAAATGTGTATTGTTAAACTATTCACCAAACACAAGATGAATGGTAGCATAGCTTTGGTGTCATAGTGAGGTCTGGGCCTTAGGACTGTACCAGACCATAACAAATTATGTGACTGCATAGACCTTATGGCACCAGAAGCAATGTCTTAAAGACCTCACAACTTTGATGTTTAAGGCCTAGGACTAAGGTGGCAGCTGATCACAATAGGCTGATTCTGTCTTGGTTTTGCAATCATAGGATGGTCTTGGAGCTGGGCAAGTTATAGATACCAGTTTAAGCCAGTGACAGCATGAGACCATCTGCTGAAACAAGCTGTGCAACCAGGCCATATCGCCATGAGACCATAAATGGTAATCATGTATGCAAATCAAAGTGGCAGATGCTTGTGGTCCAGAAGATGTAGGTCAGGCTTTGCCACTGCACTCTGGTCTGTAGAGGGTGAAGTTAATGGTAGTGACATCAGTCAGGGTATGGGAAAGTGCTACTTTGGGCCCATGCATATTTGGGTCACTTGCAGTGGAGGCAGTCAGGCTGGTAGCAGGATTGGGCTCACAGTCAGCTAATTTTCAGATTTACATGATAATGGATTGAACTTGGATATTTTAATCTTTTGTTGCTGAAGCTGTGCCTTGGGATCAGGCCACTGTAATTTCATGTTAGAGCCAGCATCAGCACTTTTGGAGATTGGGAGGGGACTTCCTTACAGTCTTATGCTGGCACCCTCCATGCAGGCTGGCAGGGGCCTCTTAGGTTGGCATCCTCCTGGTTTTGTTACAGGGAGTGTCTTTTTTAGGGAGAGGACAGCGGATGGTCTTGTTTAATATGCCAGGTAGTCTGATAGTCTGAAATATAAGTCCATAGGTAGTCTGAAAAGCCAGAAAAAGGCCCACTTTTCAATCAGGCACAGCCCATTTACAGCCAACAGCCCTGCCCTGGTGTATGGCATGTATCCACCATTCACCATTGTCTAATTGTGTTACAGTTAAGATATTATTTGAACAATAACATCATAGCGATTTTGTGGGGCATCCAACAGTTTGACTGCATAGCGTTTATCTCGCCTCCTTGCATTTACCTTCCAACATGATGCTTCTTGCATTTCAGACAGTACATGCATGAACAGAATGGCGCTCTCCCACGGTTGTCTGTCGCGCCTCGTTCTGCGAGATATCTGGACGTCGGGCATGGCAAGCAGAGGTCTCGCTACGTCTGCGGTCGTTCTGCGGAAGACGCGATGGATGCCGACGGCACCCTCAAAGCTGTACAGAGTGCCGACGCGGCCTGAGATCCCTGCAGACGAAAGGGAGGACATGAAACGCCTGTACAACAACTACCGCACTGCGATGAAGTCTTTGAAGTAAGACTGTGGTAGACAATTCAGTGTACTTTTCACGAACGATGTTTGGTGGTCACGTTGCATGCTACACGGGGCCGATGGTGTGCAGTGTGCTGCAAACGTGGGCGCATGTCTGGATTCTTGTAGAATTCCCCCTCCGGCCATCAGCCAAGCTGGTCGGTGTATAAACGATTTTGGTGAGTCCATGCATCACAGTAATAATACGCCAGCATACGGTCTTTTCTAGCCGACAGCATGTGGAACTGAGCATGTTTGGCAGGCCTCAGATAGTGTTGTTCGCCACAGCGGTGGAGCTCAGATGACTGCCGCAGCTTACATTCGAAATCTGACGCCCGACCGCCGCGAAATCGGACTGAGCTGATCCCGATGTACCGGCCGGCGATAGGCCCGATTATTGAATCAAACTGCGGAGCTGTGCACGCATCATTCAATGATGTGGCTTGTATCCAGAAACCTTGAAGTTTTATATAACATCCTATTCACTTAAAAGTGCTCTATTTTGGACCTAACTGTCAAGGGACGGTGCTGCTTCGTAGGCTGTCACTGAAATTCATTGCATGAGATGTACACAGCTCATCACCGTTAGGACATACAGAGTTATCTAACGCGCTGCATACTTGCTGAATATTAGTTCAGTGAATTCGTTATTATGTCAGGCGTCAGCAATTTTTTATGGAATAGGTTTTACCAAGCAACCCTATGATTTACTACAACAGTTACTGACGAAATCTATGTAACACTTATCTTTGTCGTGGATTGGTTAAACAAAACCGTGGCGAATCATGTTAGGCAACTACTTGTATAGTGAGTAGTGAGGTGCATTTCCTGCTGGGTGGGAGTATTCGGCGAAAACGAGTTGGTTTGTCCTGAAATATGGCATTGTGTCAGCATATGAATCCCCGCTGAAGTTAATGGGCACCAGGGCCTTCCCGACCGCCCGTGTTCCGACCCGACTTCCGCGTCCTGGGTTCGGGAACCGGGCATGGATCGGCGCCCGTGCCTGCCGCCCCCTCTGACCGTGCCGCGTGCCCTGTCAGGAGCTACCTGCGCCAGGACTGGGAGCTGCGCCAGAGCAACCGTGCCCAGCCGGGTCACGTGCTCTCCCGGAGCAGGAGGAGGCCGAGCACCGACAGCTGATGGCGTTCAACGACGCCGAGAACGCGCGCATGGCCGCCGAGGGCGGAACAGAGGTGGGTGCGGCGCGGGACGCGTGCACCGCGCAGCGCACCGGCTATCGTGTTCGCCGCGCTTGCATGTCGCGGAAACGTTTGCCGCAGTTGTCTGGATTGTTCGAGTTCTTGCCACACTCTGCCATGGAGCGCCGCGGCTACACCGGCCGCAGAACGGCCTCGCTCGCGGCCAGCGTAGGTGTGTAGGCTGTCGTGCATGCTTGTGCGTGACCCCTCGCCCACGTGGGGCCCGTCCCGGTGAACCGGAGGCCGACGGCGACGTGCCCCGCAGGCTGGCCGAGCAGACCGAGGCCGTGCGCCGCAAGGTGGCGGCGCTGCAGCAGGCGGCCCTGGAGCAGCAGAAGAAGGACAGCCAGCGCGCCGTGGAGCTCATCCGCACCCAGGAGGTGAGATGCGCGCATGGCGCGGGAGCGTCCGGGGGGCGTCTACCCGCGCCTCGGCTGGCGCTGGGCTTTGGAGGTGCGGTGGAACCGGGCGAAGCGGCTTGACTGATGGGGACTTCACACGTCCACGTGGACCATTCTGTGTGGAAAACGGCATCACAGTGAAGCGCCGTTGTGAGTTCACTATTGACAAGTGCGGTTTTGCACTCATTTGTCTCGCTGCATAATGATACAGCGTAGCTTCATTGCCTCATAGATACACGTGTCTGCCGTAGTGATCTTATCTATAGTGATACAGGCGAAAACTTGTTTTCCCCTTTTTCCGCATACGAGTTTGTCTTACAAATGGTGAAAACGATAAGCGTCTTGCAAATCATCATCATCCTGATTATCCCAGAAGGATTGGCATGAATCGAAATGACACGCGCCGGAAAGCCCGTCGTCCCACGCTACGTCACAGCATGGTATGTCCGGGAGTCGCGTGTCCGCTTCGTGTCCGATAACATCAACGGGAACATTCTGCCCGTCACCACAGGAAATTTCGCGCATGTACATTCCTCGCGACAAGCTGGAGGAAGAGATAGAGAAGGCGCTGGCCGACGAGGGGTCGACTACAACTACGCCATCGACAAGGACGGCACTCGATACGAGGGGCGCCTCGCCAGGGCCGTCCTAGCTGAGCCGAAGTCGTGCCGGCGGACCCGGCGCGCCCGCCCGAGTGTGACGCGGGTCAACAAGTCCGGACTGGGACCGGGCGACGGCGCCCCAAGCCGCCTCTGTTGGGCGTGGGGCGCCGCCACATTGTGCTACTTTTAGGAGCGTGTTTTAGATGAATTGTGTCTACGTGATACTTATGTGCGTGTAACCGTGCGGCCTGTGGAATACAGAGGGGCACGATTTGACTTGTGCAGGGCATTTGAAATGCGTTAGAAGTGACTGGTTTTGGGACATTTGATTCTCAACTTGTGTGATTGGGTTGTTGGGCTTGACTTCGTGTCTGCCACCCTGTCCTAGAGGTACGCACAGTCCAGGTTTAACATCAGAACCTTTGTGGTCCCCCAACATTAGTTTAAGGAAAGCTTTGCTCCCCCTCCTCCTCCCTGTCGGAAAAGAATGAAAGAGTCATCTTGCCCCAGTCCCAAAATTCCGCTCTGCCTCCGTATTCTCTGGGACTTGGAGTCACGATTTGATCGTGTGGGCACGATTATCCATTTCAAACCAAGCGGATGGATAAAACGACGCAGCGTGTAGGTCGCTGGGTCCCCATCTCTGACGCAACCGTCTCGTCACTTTCTGCCGAGAGCGGGAGGCGGGCGTCATCGGTCCACCCTTCACCAGCTGCTCGGTGCCGGCGCACCGGCCGCCAGGGCCGTCGTCTGACGGTGGCTTAGTCGGCGATCCTGGACCGTTGCGAAACCACTGCCGTAAAACGACGACGCATACCAGTCACAACGATCATTGCTTTATTGCTAGCATTGTACACAAATCGATGATCCGATGACCCCACCGCACCGTTAGGCGTGATATTCGTCAACAGTAAGTCGCGAGTGCCCGTTCGATCGGGGCACAGATGGTTAAAGGCGTCAGAGATCACTGGAAGAGACGATATTATGGTTGAGTATACAGCCATGACCCAATGCCGCTTCGGCGACAGAAAGAACACAGGAGTTAACGGACGGCCGCGGCACGACCTATGGCGCGGCACGTGTGCCCTGTCGTTACGGTACGGCGATATTACGACCATTTGTACAATTCTACGGCCGTAACACACTGGAGAAACTTCGCACAACCCGATCAGGTCCCTCGGGCTGTTCTCATTCGTGGCTTATCAGTTAACGATCATTGCTATTTCTTCCGCCACGTGATGTGCTCGTAGCAGAGTTACAGGTATCTACGTGACCAACTCCAGTAACAGTTGGATGTGTACATGCCTTTCATTGTGGCACTTGGTAGACTGTGGCACGCTGAGCTAGCGCGCGCCGCCGGCAAGCTTCATTCAAGCCAGTCGGGCGTAACAAAACAACAGCATCAGCGCCCTGACCTCAACTCGAGGGTAGACGCAACATCAAAACAGCACGGGAGCACCAGCTGGCTCTTCGGAGTCAAACCAGTCTACGGAGGCATTTCAAGAGACTGTCACGGTCGCAGTATAGACAATCCCTTGAGGAGCTTTCCGTAACAGATCATTCGCCTCAATCATTTCCACGCAGATTATCTGCTTCTGAATCTGCACAATTTGGTCGCATCAACAGTCCCGGTCCAGCACTGTTGCTCGCCGGCATGACAACCAGCACCGCCGCCGGCATACCACTTCCCACGCGGACCACGCATCAGCGCCACTGCTAGAAGTAGGACCACGAATCTGACTCGTCAAATGCCACAAAGAAGCCGAGGATGGTGAGGAACATGACGACGTTTCCCGTCAGCACCAGCGCGCAGGCGCCCCACTCAATCACTGGGACCTTGAGAGGCGCGTGTGCAAGCACAATAGGCAGGCCAAACGCGGACACCACAATGCCTGTGGTAAGGAACACCGCCAGCTCTGTGCAGGCGTTCCCAGTACCCGAGTCCTCCGCATAACGTCTGGCAATTGTGTATGGCAGGGGTGCCAGAATGTAGAAGATGATGACAAAGAATGGCCACCAATTGTTGTAATCTGGCAGGGCACATGCAAGCACCATGAACATGATGCCCAGTGACCCAGAGAATGCCAGCAGGACCAAAGCCTTGACACTGCCAGCCATGATGTGAGAAAGCTGCGGCCCACGAAGTCTCAGGAATGCTTGCGGTCAGCTGAGAGGAGAAGCACATGTTAGAAACTTATTCTGTGCAGTACCTGGGATGCTTTCCACTAACATCATTTACAAAACATGAAACCACATATGTGCTACCATTGGGTTGTTATAAAGGAAATAACCTGATGCAATATCATTTTTGGCTTATGCACATATTTGCCAAAACATTTGACACATACTTCATCATTTTGCATCAACTGTAGTATTCCCTCTCTGAGCCATGATAATGATACACCTTTGGTCTTCACACAGGCTCAGTTGTGGAACAAGAATTTAGCTGTTGATAAATAATTGGTATAGACCATGCATCATGTGATAATTGGACAGGTGGCTCTGTTACACTACAGCTTAATGCATATGCCAATCTGGTAATAGTTCACAAGCTAGGGATTTATTGGGACACACTCATTTGTGGTGCCATATTTTCATCATCATTATTAAAAATATCTAGCCTGACCATTCCGACAAACACTTTGACTACGGGATATAGTACAGGGCATCTTTCTAGAATAATTCTTAGACACACAACATTGTTGTCAAATCCTCAGAAGCACATACCCTTCTGCACCCAGTACATGTACGAGGCTTGTTTTAACGTCGCGATTTCAGGCAGTAGATGCTGGATGGCAGGCAGCGATACGCGATAACAAGGCACTAGCAATGGCCAGAATATCTCTAGGCAACATAGAGTTTACTATGGAGCAAATACACACAAAGTTGTACACATACCTTAAAAAGCTCACCACCAAAAACTGATGGCGCCGCTCCTCACTTAATCCTCGCCCGCGACCATTGCATACCCAGCCGCTGGAGGCGTCACTTTACGCTGCAGACTGTAGGCTTCCGGACCGATATGGTAGCTCAAATTGAAAACTTGTGCACAAAAATATTGCGCATAGGTAGAATTAGACACTCACATGATTATTTTCAGCGGCGCTCCAAAAAATTCCAGGAGGCAAAATCTGTTTTAACTCTAAGATCGAGGCGAGGCAATGGTCCCTGGGTATTAAATTAAGCGCAATGCTGATGTGAAAATTTTTAAAACAGCTCACAGTCACTTGCCAGATGAGAGAATCATTGTCACGAACGGCGGGGTGAGGCCGCTGAGGTGCACGAAGCGCATTATCTGATACATGGGTCATGGGGTGACATTATGTGTCTATGGTCACAAGATCTAAAGGCACAACAAAATGATAAATAGAGAGTTCCCTGCAACGGTCATGGGAGGTCTAGTACGGTGACTAGTGCCTCAAAAGGCCGCAGCAAATATCACAACGTTGTATTTTGTCGAAAAAGTCACTATCACATGAACATCATCTGCCACGCTATCACCAAACTGTAGAAATATATCCAAGACGCTTCGAAGACGGGTAGGCCTATCCGTGGTGGTCTTCATTAGCCTGACATCTAGTGGTAATAAATCTTACCTCGAGTACAAAGCTCTCAGCAGATGGTAGCACAAGTAACAAAGGAGTGACGATTCTGAATAATGCGGCCAACGTTGGCGTTACGGGCGATACGGCAGCGGAGGGCGTCCAATCGCCACGGTTCTCCCAATAACTTTTGAGTGCCATTCATAGCGTGTCCCAAGGCCATTACATAGCGGTGCGTTGCGTTGTGCTGGGGGTGCGACGTCTTGTGGAAATGAGTGCGGGGGTAGTGGACGTGAAGGGCTATTCCTAACTGATTGATGCAGAACTTGTGATGTCTGGTCTTGGTGGTGGTGAAAGCATCCTCAGATAGCTACCTTGAACAAAATCTCCTCGGCTCCCAAGGTAAGGGAATTTATTGAAAACGATGTCGATCGCATTTCTGGACTGCGTAGTCATTGGCCATGATTAAGCCTAGGAAATCTAATGGACATCCTGCGAGGGTAACATGTGGTCTGCTGTCATCCAAATGCTGAAGGGTAGGTAACATACTTAAAAATAAAAAGTGCTGATTGGTTCAAAAAGTTGGAATGATATTCTGCCACTGGCTATTTCTGGAAATACAAGATGTTAAAAGGTGTTGGTCAGATAAGTCCTGCTGTCAGAAGGTGTCATCAGTTTGGGTTGAGTGACTGTTTGTCTCTGCTGTCAGCAACTGGCACCAGACTTGAACTGTAATGGATGAATAGTGTTGGAAAAAATTGAGGTGGCAGGAAAGATCCTATGTGGATAACGTGACAATGCCTTGGATGACACCAATATACACAAACTTCTGTTTTTGGGATATTGTGAAAGCAAGATGGCAGGGGCAACAGCTGACAAGTATTGTATATTAATATACTCCAACAGCGGGAAATGCATATTAAGTTGGAGCTCAGTTTATTAACATAACTATACCAAATCAATTGTGTTCTAGCATGTGAAGGTCAGCTACATGTGATTCTGCATATGTTCTCATGCAAGGTCAACCAGTGGCTACTCACCTGTATAGGCCATTGTTTTACTGCAGAATGTGCTCCTTAGAAGACATTAACATAACCTACATAGGGCTCACCCCACCTTATTAATTGAACAGCTTAACAGTGCTGCATTCCCAAGCATAGCCCTGGCTTTATTCCACACAATATTTACCTTAAGCTGGAAGTGACAAGCATTACCAAAAATCAGATAAGAAAAAGTGTTCACCCTGGTCTGCACAGTAGCATGGTACCAGCATGGTTCCACGGGTTCAGCTGTGCAGACAGCTCATAAGGTGTAGCACATAAGGTGTAGCACACATCCATGGTGTCCATGGCAGGACACATGGTGTACTGAACCTCTTACCTGTTTATGCTAAACCCAAACCAGGCCAGATGTTATTGATGTTTCAAATTAGTTTGGT